ATAATAAACGTTAGATAAAGCGCAACAACAAAGTGAGCGTATATGATAGTAGCAACATGCTTCTAATTTACGTAAAGCTGGTTCTTCTTCCACCTCGGTGACATTTTGCGATAGAGTTTTTTTCGAATGAAATCGGCTTTTTCTTTTCCTTTAACGTATACTTGGTCTGATGATGATATTAACTGGCGAAGTATAATTGGAAACATGTAGGATGGCGTATGACCATGCTCCCATTTAATTCCGCGATGGTTATGGATTAGCCAGGTAGCTTGACGTTGTAAGCCATCTGCTTTCCATTATAAATATTGCAAGCTCTTTCGGTAAATTCGTTTCTTGTTTTAAAGACTTGTACATCGATTTCCCTTGACATTATGTCGTCGAAGGAAGACTGAATATTGATTTCCAAAATAACAACATGCATACTTGTCTGGCGAGCGCTTTTACGCAAATACCTACTATTCAAATATTTATTCAGTATAAAGCGGTCACATCATCCAATGCAATTTTATAGATAACGCGCTTCTTCGGTTCTATTGTTATCAATATGACACCTTTGACTTAAACGCCTACAAGTTCTAACGGTTTCCTGTTAGTCTTGCACCTATATATCCTCAAGTCTAACTATCATGTCCCGCAAAATTTCTAGAAAGAATTTATGCTTTTCCTATTAAAACAATGCAACTATATAGGTGTCCTTGAGTCGTAATCTTAAGCTACGCTTTACGAAATTATCAATGGCGGCAGCTCGTGAGTAAATAGAATATATAGGTATCGTTAAACTTTAGTTATAGCAAATTTTAAAATCTACTCATCTCCAGGGCATAACGATAGTCGATGTAGTGAAACAGCCGGCTTTTGAATAGGTCGAGGTAATACTCAAAAGGTATATGGAATTGGTCAATGAAACGAAAAGTATTCAAGTTTATCGTATCACCTTCAAAGTAGACCTCCTTCTAAAATAATACACTACCTACGAGCATACTAATTTTTGAAGGTCTTCAGACTTCGGGAACCCTCCGCAACGTACGCATTTTCAAAACTAATAGGATGCTTTGATCGATAATAATACAAATCTATCAGCGGCATGTACCAAATGTTTTACCTATATAATATCACGTTCTAAGGTATGGCGATATTGAATATAATGAGTGAAGGATGTAAATTTTTATTGTATGTTTATCTGCATACCCCTTTGTATCGAACTTCCTATGACATCGTTTGTCATAGCTGTGCAATCTGTACAGGTTTCCTATCTAAATGGATAGCAATAAATAAAACTCCTCCTCGAAACCGTTCGATAGTCAGTTGCGAAGAAAATGGAGGGTAAGAATGACCCCTTTTCTATTTTTCATCAAACTTAATGTATGTAATTTTTCAGCTCAAGGTGCGGCCATCATCTTTGGCCCATTGCAGACGGCCTATGGTAAATACGCCACATATCTATCACACGTTTAACCATATATTTGTAGAACGAGAACTCCGAACATATCTCAAACAAAAATATGGATCTGTAAGTACTTTTCATGCATCATACCGTATTTTAATTAGCTCTTATTTAGGAAAATGTTGCTATTTTACGGGGTCGGGGGGTAATCCCTGACTCCGTAAAGATAGAGGAAGGTAGCTTCCTGGGGCGGAGGTTCCAGGTCTTTAAGGACCTGGAACTACAAAACACGTACTGGGTGTTTTATGTAAGTGTTATCGTTTCAATTATAATGTTTACTTCAATGAATTTTTTTTTCCAGAACTAATAAACCCGCATTAAATTTTGTTTTGTTTTACTTATCCACTCCATTCTGACTAAGCCCTTACCTAAAATAATAAGATGTAGTGATTAGGGTGTTATCATTTCTTCCGTAAAACAAGTGTTCAGACACCTCCTCCCACCCAGCACGCGAAGGTAGAGCGCCTACTTAGAAATATGTACTATGGTAAACAAGATTATAGGTTAGAAAGGGGCCCTCTTACCACTTGTTGACAGTGAATACGGCAGGCCTTCATCTCTATCCTGGTTTGGAATTTAGAAGCTTGGCTTATCGCAGCATTCATACGTCTAAGTGTATTATGTTCAATAGGTGATCATGTCCAGTATTATGACACTGACTCTATAATCTATATATCAGCGGAAGGACAACCCAATCCGCTAACAGATAAATATTTAGGCAACTTAACGGCTGAATTAGAAGCTGAAGGTTCTGAGAGTTGGATTGAAGAAGAATTCGTGTGAGGTGGTTCAAAGGATTTCCCTATACGCCAACTACGCCCTGGCGTTTGGCGGCGTACGGACGGTGGCGGCACCGAGTACACTTGACGCGACAACAGCTGTATGTCGGGTGTCGGCTATGGGCTACTTCAGCTACTTGAGATGTACCGAGAATTGATTATACATGCTCTTTTTCGTGGTTCGAGATGCACAAGCAGTACTATTAAAAAGGTAGGCCTATTAGTTATTTTTTTTATACACCCTGTGTAGAGAAATATCTAATGGGAATCCTATAACGAGGCCGTAAACATCTCCAATAAATTGCATTATTTCTAGTGTGAATTTATTGCCTCCTGGGTGGTCATGGAAAGAGGTCTAACCAATAATAATTTAACCAAAGCTATACAAGGTAGATCGATAATTCGGTAACTATTGTTCCTCTTCTAGAATATACGCAGCTAAATGTCCATTTTACTATTTAACAATTACGTAATTATGCTATAATTGGGGATTTAATTTACAATTCAGGGTGATTAGACATAGGTACAATTTTCAGCAGGTCTATATTCAGCTTCAGCATTACATATTACAATCACCCTAAGTTTATGGGTACGGTATTGATTTGATTGAATGATTCATTAAAAATTAAAAGTGCCACTTATTTAGAATACTTAGGTTATACTTACATATAGATTTTACATACCTAAGTGTCGTTAATTGCGAGTGAAGCGATCGAAAATAATTTTCGTCCTATTTGGTAAGCTTGAAATAGGCGGTAAATTGCATCTGGCGTAGAGCGCAAATGTGTAAATCCGCCGCTGGATTATACTTATAGATATTAAATTAAGAAGCTCACCTTATAATCAATATTATCGTTATATAAATGTAGATCCGAGAAAAATTGATTTAACTGAATACCAAACAAATTGATGTAATACATAATATTTCACAATGTTATCGCATTTATTTATCACAACTGTATTATCCTCTACTCCTGATCAATAAATGTAAAGTATAGATATTAATAATAATAATAAATCCGAACGCCGTTTAACCACGATGATGAAGACAATCCTCCATTGGAGTTTGATATCGTCTAAAAAGGTATCAATGTAGGTTTTTTATTACAAAATAATTTTGATACTTACGGTCCAACTCTGATGTAGACTATGTTTTCTGCTGTCGGCTTATTACTTATAAACGCCCATATAAAATAATCGCCGAATAAATACAATAAAATGTCACGCTTTTCATAAAACTGCAAATTATGCGCGCAAGGACACGTATCCCTAAGAAAAGTAAATTATAAGCAACTAAAAATTGAAAAAAGGCTTACCTGAGGTATATAAGCAGCCACCTGTCTATATACCCACATACACACTTATTGAAATCGGATTGCGGATGCACGCCGTTTTTAAATACTGCGGAACGTCGAATTTATAATTATATAGAACGTACTTCGCCGTAAAGATATACACATTTCCTATTTCCATCATATTTCCCACCTTTTTAAGGGAGATTTTCGAACTTTACGCATTCATACACAATAAATACCCGTATATAGGTGTCGGTATGGAAATGAAATGGGATAAACTACCATATCAAATTCGCGAGCACTCACTGCTATAAGTAAACACTATCGCAAGATTGAAACTTCCCATACCAATTATTAGAATCATGAAATCTGCGAACTCTGTTCTCTTTGAGGATAGCTTCTACGTCTTACTACAAAAACCAGGGGGGGCTGCCCTAGACCCTAAGAGCTACTATATAAAACTAGGGGTCAGGGGCGCCGACTTATCAAAATTTATGTGGGTGCTCACCAAGCCAGAAGCCTCACATATTATGTCCACAGATGCGAATATCTGCTGCGTCTACTGGCCCTGAAAATCGCCCAAAATCGCAATAATTGCGGCTGCTTAAAATCGACCAAAATCGCAAATAAAACGACAAAATAAAATCAAATTTCTATTACATAAGAGAAAAAAAGGGGAACGTAAGCGAGTAAGCAAAAAATAATCTGCATATGCATGCGACACCTTCGTTGATGCGTCAAGCATTTGATACCGTTAATCTTAATTTGCAACAGCTTCTCAGTTTTCATATCCTCTGTTTTACAATAGGTAGTACTATACCTACACATGACAATTATTAAATGTGTGTAGTTATAGGTAGGTAGGTACTGTTAATCTTTGTCATTAAAAATAAACTAAGGAATTAAATTTAAGAAGTCGCATAAGCGTTTTCAAAATCGCCCAATTTGCGATATATCGTAAATGTGAAAAAATAGGAGCAATTATGAATGTTGTATCGCCCATTTTGCGATAAATCGCCCACGTTGGGAGCCCCGGACTGGGACCTGGCCTGGGACTGCGGCTTTGAAAACTTCATGTACCGAATACATAGGTACCTATTATTTCATTTTTCATAAGAATTAACGATGGCGATCGACGATGTATGTAACGGATGACGGATGTAATTTCATTTCGATAATTCGATATCATAAAAATGCTGTACGATCTGTACAGATTCTACAAATGTAGTCACATTCAAATTCAACAACTACTGTAGTCTGTACGCCGTACGGAAAATATTTATAGAAATCTTTCCTGCCATTTCGTGTGAGTAAAGTAAAAAAATACATCTAAATTTCTTCGTGTTTAGTAACTATCGAGAAAAAAGACCTAAATAGACAAATATCAACCGGAAAATTCTGTGGGTGCGATGCACCCACATAACTTTTTCTGTGGGTGCTTAAGCCCCGAAGCACCCACGTAGTCGGTGCCCCTGCTAGGGGTAGTTCCTTGGGGATAGGATTAGGGGTTAGCTCCCCCACCCTACGAAATAGCTCACATCGGTATCTACAGCTCCTGACGTTGATGCTATAATTAAATACTATCGAATTATTGCGAGATTGCAGCATCCTCTCCCATAACCGCGGTTATTTTTTTCTCTAACTGATAACACATTTACATTCGTGCTTATTTAGCTGCAAATGTCGAGTGAGTAACATCTTCATATTGCTTTCACAACTTAATAGTTATTATTTTAGATCAAGAAATGTGCAATCATTTTTGCGAGGAGTCGAGGTAAACCTGCATGTATATTACTATACGTTTTAACCGTATATTTGTAGAACAAGAAACTACTATTATTTTCGGCGGGATAAACCCAGCGAGGTATAAAACCCCCCATGTATTACGTTTTAATTATATACCTATGTGTAGAACGGAGCGGGGATTTCCAATTATGAATAACAATGTCGGCATCCAAAAAAATAGGGGCGTTGCCGTCGTCGGTCCTCTTCGACGCAAATTTTATGTAAGTAGAGTAAGCGCTTTAATTGTAATAATAAACTTCAAATCGATATTTCAGATCTAAATAAAAACGCCCTACATTTTGTTTTTGTTGTTTTATTTCCCTACCCGCCCCTGTTCTGGTTGTAGGTTAGAATGGGGCCCCCTTGTGTATGTCTCTCAAATGGAGGAGCTACCTCCGAGATGGAATGATAGGTTAGAATTCTCCTCCCTTGCATCTCTCTCCTGAACCCTCGTATCTAACCGTTTGATGTCTCATCAATGCCGGGGCGCCGGTTGAAATTATACTTTCCTATACCTATACGAATCCTAATAGATGGCGACTCCGTTCCGTTAAAATAGGTTAGAATGAGGGACCTCGCACTTGACGACTGAAATTACAATTTCCTACCTCTATATGCATTACGACGCCAATAGATGGCGCCTCCGTACCCTTAAAATAGGTTCGTTATAAATACAACTATCCAAGCATTATATCATACAAGTCTAGTTAGCCTAGTGGTTATGCTATAGGACTTGTAATCCAATGGTTGGCGGTTCGAATCCGCTCCATTTAACAAATTAACAAAGTTTTCAGGGTACGAAGGGGTCGAAGTTTGAGGATTCCAAGATGGCGTCCAAGAACTTGAGGATTCCAAGAACTTGAGGATTTCAAGAACTTGAGGATTCCAAGAACTTGAGGATTCCAAGAACTTGAGGATTCCAAGAACTTGAGGATTCCAAGATGGCGTCCAAATGACGCCTGCGCAAAGGGGCGGGGCGCGCATGCGCACATCCAAACTGCTCCAAAAACACCCAAATGAACCTTAGAATTCCTTATGGGAAATTACATGGGATTTCGACCAAAAGTGGCCTAGAATCCCCCTAGCCNGATGACGGATGTAATTTCATTTCGATAATTCGATATCATAAAAATGCTGTACGATCTGTACAGATTCTACAAATGTAGTCACATTCAAATTCAACAACTACTGTAGTCTGTACGCCGTACGGAAAATATTTATAGAAATCTTTCCTGCTATTTCGTGTGAGTAAAGTAAAAAAATATATCTAAATTTCTTCGTGTTTAGTAACTATCGAGAAAAAAGACCTAAATAGACAAATATCAACCGGAAAATTCTGTGGGTGCAATGCACCCACATAACTTTTTCTGTGGGTGCTTAAGCCCCGAAGCACCCACGTAGTCGGCGCCCTTCATTAATGACTACCACTTGCTTACGATTATATAAGTATGACTGTACAATGGCCACACCAGTACTATCGAAGCCATACATTTGACATTTCTCGATGAGTATATCATGGGCTACACAGTCAAACGCCTTTGTTAGGTCGCAAAATTGTGCCGCTACAAGTTCATGATCTTCAAACGCGTCGCATACGAATTCCTGGAGCTTCAAGATGGCTTTTGTAGTGGACCGATTTCTTCTAAAACCATACTGGGAATTGGTAAGTATTTTTTCATTTTCGATGTGGGCGTTTATTTGACGTTGCAGAACCAATTCCAGAATTTTTCCAAAGATCGGAACAATAGAAATTGGTCTATAATTAGTTAAATCCTGATGATCGCCTTGATTTTTATATAATGGAGTAACTTTGGATATTTTCAAATGGTCAGGAAATACTCCAAGTAGCAAACATTCGTTTACCAGCAGAGTTAAAGGTATAATAATGATATTTTTGATGGATTTCACTAACACGGAATTAATACCGTAAATGTCTTTAGACGTAGTATTCTTTAACCCTTTAATGATACTTCGAACATCGTTGAAAGTAACCTCATTCATTTTTAGTTTATTGACACTCGTAGTTTTATATTTAAATGCAGCAGGTGCCATAGTTGACTGTCGCTGTGTTTTTGGTAGTTCAACTGTTGTCTGGGCAATATTGGTAAAGTAGTTGTTGATTTCATTTGGACTATGATGTATGTGTTGTAGCTGGCTAGATTTAGTGTCCCTATTATTGTTTATAACTTTCCATATTGCTTTAGCATTGTTACTGTGCCGTTGAATGAATTTATTGTGAGCCTCCAACTTGGCTTTTCGTATTTCAGTTTTATATACCTTGTGGTAGTGCTTCAAGAGATCCAAATTTTGTACTGTTGGGCGGTTGTTGCAGACATCGACGAGAAAGTTTAAATTATTACGAAGTAATTGAAGTGTATTGTTGAACCATTTTATGTCATCATTCCGGGTCACTAAGCGTTTTCTTGGGAAGCTTTCCTGCGCATAATTTGATATTAAGGAAGTGAATTGTTCGAATCTGGCATTGATATCTGATGCTTTATTTTTGACGAACGCAAAGTCAATTGCCTCAATCTTATGATAAAAATCATACAGCCCTTTTTGCGTAATAGGTTGCACATAGACAGCGTTGCGTGTGGAGCGGCTATGTTTCAATTGAAGTTTCACTGAGAGTATTATGGCTTTGTGATCCGAAAGAAAAGGATGTTCAATAACGACTTCATGGTCACTAAATGCGTTTTTGTAAATTAGGAAATTGTCTAAACAGTTTTCAAGTCTTGTTGGTATTGTTATTAAAGATATAAGGTTAAACGACACTAGCAGGTTATAAAAGATTAAATATTTGGCATCTTTTGAATTAAATTTGATATTAAAATCACCTGTTATGATAACGTCAAAATTGTTACTGCTCAACTTATCGAGGACCATACTAAAAATGTTTAGAAATGAATTTAAGTCACCAGCTGGCGATCTGTATATTGCGATAACAACACAGTTGTATTCTTGCAAAAACACAGAAGCTATTTCGCAGTCTTTTTCAACTGATAATTCGTCAATGTCACATCTTTTGCGGAAATCTATCCCTTGTTGTACATATAAAATCACGCCTCCGTTTTTGTATACGCGTCGGGTGAAGTGGGACCCAACTTCAAAATTCAGAATATTAGTTGCTTCTACTTCATTTGGAAATAGCCAATGTTCGCTGAAGCACAATATATGAATTTGTCCAACCTTCATTAAATAATGATTTATTTCATTTATTTTATTGCGAAGTGATTGAATGTTTAAATGCAAAATCTTTAAATCTTTGTTTTCTGAAACCATTTGAACTGTTTGTAATCTAACAGTATCTTTTCTAGTTATTAAACGTTGCATTTGGCTTCCGAAAAAAACGGAAACGTCGTACTAGTACGTTTTTAGGCCAATTGCTTGGGTCAAGCAGTTGCGGTAGTAACTCCAAGTCTCCACCAACCTTAAACGATATACTGTTAGCGTCATCACGTACAGGCAGCTCTTCCACGATGAAATCCCTACTGAATTTTCGACGAAGGTAATTTTTTACTTGTTCAGGTTTTGTATCTTTATGTAACCTTCCTAGATGTAACCATGCATGTTTTACAGCGGCACTAAACTCAAGTGAAACTCCGTTATCCTCTGTACTATTGCCAATAATAGATACGTTCCCTTGTTTGTTTACAGCACGGTTGGTTGACCCGTTGTTGTAGATGGACGTGGGGATCTTCTTATCATTAGACATGCATGTATCGTTATCTTTATTTGTATGGGAATTTTGTGTGTCCGCTTTCTTGCGGCCTTTCTCAAGGATTTTGACAGGATTACGAGTTTCCTTTCCAGATACGGTAACCTCACTTTTATGCAGTTTTAATTCATTTATTAACTCACATTGGTAGTGAATTGTCCTTTCCTTTTCAGCCATTAAAAGCTTCGTCGATTTTAACTCTAGTTCAACAATTTCTAATTTGTGGTCGATATTGCCCATTTCGTTATTAGCGATTTTCAGGTTTTTGCCACCATTGTCACCAAATATGATATCACAAACACTTTCACTCAAAACTACTCCCTCGGGTAACTTTTTATAGAATAACATTTGAATTAAATTATCCTTTTTTACGGTTTTTAAATCGTTATAAAATTCAGTGTACTCTCGCGTCGGCGCCATCTTGAATATTTGAGTGCATCATAACCTCTTGTCTAAAAAATGATAGGTACAAGATGAATCATTACGATTTAATTTGTTTATTTATTTCCATACAATGAAGAACACTTCAGTAAATAATGTCAAACCTCCAGACGTAAATATGCTTCTTCTAAGGCGTCAAAGTGTTTCGTGTAGGGGTTTTAGCATCAATTCATGAACCTGAAACCAAAAAAATCTAGTAACATGCTGTCATGGTGTCTTGAGATAATGAAAGACACTGGTAACGTTTCTATAAATTTCCACACCTAAAAATACCATTGGTTTAACGTGATTTGCAGTTGCAGAGATCAAATAATTATTTGGAATGAAACTACACGTTTAAGTAACCAATATTGCAACATTGGTTTATCTAGGTTTTTGTTTGATAATTTAAGAAAAATCAGTAGGTACCGTACTACCAGTATGTAATGGGAAATCAGACCAGATCTGCGAGGTTACTTTGACTTGATAATGGTTGATTTACCAACCATTTTTTATTGTACTCCAATTGGTAAATCAATGGTGAGAATGCTATTTTCTTCCCGTGTCTCAGAATTTCTGTGTGTATCCTACTGCCACATATTCGACAAATCAGCAGAATATGAAGTATATTTTACCATGATGTAACCATATTTGCTTCTCAAACATATCGCTTGTGCATTAATCGGAATCGGTTACCTGTACATGCGCCGGAGTAGACAAGACATAAATCACTGAATCTGCAACATCCGAAGTTTGCAAAGCAGCATTGCATCTAATGACGTTTTCTATTTCAGTAGTACCTTTGGGATATCCACTACCAACAGCCGCAGCTGCAACAATGTTAGTTTCGACGAATCCTGGGCTGACACTCTGCAATAAACCACAAATGAGTAGCTATTTAAGGCGAAAAGTTAAGGGTCAACCTACGCCAATTTCAGACAACATTTGGCCAAATAGGCTTTTTTTACTAATTGGTACCTGCTGAACACGAATATCGATGTTGGCACCTCGAAATCTGAACAGGAAGTCCAGAATTCAAGATGGCGCCCAATTTCCGAAAATGTTGATATTTTCACTCATGCGACCGATTTTTTCGATCTAAAAACGGATTATAATGTTATTCCTGACGGAGGTATGGCACGATAATAATAGTGAACAAAATGT